GCCCACCCAAGCCACTTCCAGTGGTTTATTCTGTACCAATGGCATGTTTTGGCTCTTGCTGCAGACTTTCCTAAAATTTCTCAAAGGCTCACAAAACCAAAAGAAGTAGCATCTGGCCTCGACATGCCCTGTACCTCTGGCTGAGCAGCCCCAAGCCTGGCACTAGCGGCAACTGGCCTTGGTTTCTGGCTTGGCCTCTCAAAGTATTTCCAAGTGCAGTATAGGTGGAAGCCATCTACAGATTGCTTGGTGGACCATGCCAGGTGGCCCCAGGCAGGACACAGGCTGTGGCTGAACTCAGCCTGTGGCAGAGCCCCTCCCAGGAGGCCTCAGTGTGGCATGCCCAGTAGCTGGCTTTGGACTGAGTCTGAGCATTACTCGGGGCTGCATCTGAAGACCGCACACCAAAAGGGCACTCTGGACAGGCACCAGAGCCCTCCTAAAGCTAATCCTGCTCCATAGGGTCAGCCCCTGCACAACAACTCCTCCACCAGTCATGGCCAGTCCTCACAACCAATCAGCCCAAGGGTTAATCCTTCCCATTGATGTGCAAACAGCAACCGAGGCTCAAATATAACAGGAGGTCGTACACAATGCATACAAGGTACACACCTGGAGCACCTAGCTCAGGTGATCAGAGAGACTATGCCACTGGACCTCACAAGACACCTACTCCATAAGGCACTCTACTGAGACTGGGAGACATAGTAGCCCTACCTAATACACAGAAACAAACACAGGGAGGCAGCCAAAATGGGGAGACAAAGAAACAAGTTCTACTTGAAAGAACAGAACAAAGCTCCAGAAAAAGAACTAAACAGAATGGAGACAAGCAATCTACCAGATGTAGAATTCAAAACACTTGCTATAAGGATGCTCAATGATCTCAGTGAGAACTTTAATAAAGAGACAGGAAACATAAAAATGGAGATAGAAAACATAAAAAGGATCAGTCGGAAATGAAAAAATACAATAACTGAAATGAAGAATACATTAGAGGGAATCAATAGTACATTAGATGAAGGAGAGAATCAAATCAGCTATTTGGAAGATAAGATAGCAGAAAACACCCAACCAGCACAGCAACAAGAAAAAAGAATAAAAAAATATGATGAGAATAGTTCAAGGGGCCTCTGGGACATCAAGCATACCAACATTCACATCCTAGGGGTACCAGAAGAATAAGAGAGAGGAAAAGAATTGAAAAGCTGTGTAAAGAAATAATGACAGAAAACTTCCCTAACCTGGCAAAAGAAATAGACATACAAGCTCAGGAAGCTCAGAGAATCCCAAACAAGATGAACCCAGAGAGACTCACACCAAGACACATCATCATTAAAATGCCAAAGGTTAAAAACAAATAGAGAATCCTAAAAGCAGCAAGAGAAATACAGTTAGTTACCTACAAGGGAGCTCCCACAAGAATGTCAGCTGATTTCTCAACAGAAACTTTGCAGTCCAGAAGGGATTGACATGAAATATTCAAAGTGATGAAAAGTAAGGACCTACAACCAAAATTACTCTACCTAGCAAAACTATCAGTTAGAACTGAAGGACAGATAAAGAGCTTCCCAGACAAGAAAAAGCTAAAGAAGTTCATCATCACCAAAACAATGTTAGAGGGACTTCTTTACAAAAGTATTACAAAAAATGTTAGAGGGACTTCTTTAAGAAGAAGAAAAATATATATTAAAAATGTAACTAATAAAATGCCAATAACTACATATCTAGCAATAATTAATTTAAACGTAAATGAATTAAATGCTCCAATCAAAAGATAGGGTAGCTGAATGGATAAGAAAACAAAACCCTTACCTATGCTGCCTGCAAGAGACTCACTTCAGATCAAAAGACACACACAGACTGAAAGTAAAGGGATGGAAAAAGATATTTCATGAAAATGGAAATGTAAAAAGAAAAAAGCTGGGTAGCAATACTAATACCAGACGAAAAAGACTCTAAAATAAAGAGTTTAACAAGAGACAAAGAAAGATTCAGTTATCCCACTTCTGGGTATTTATATGAAGAAACCTGAAACATTAATTCTAAAAGACATTGCATCTACATGTTCATTGCAGCATTATTTTCAATACCCATACATGGAAACAACCTAAGTGTCCATCAATGAATGAATGGATAAAGAAGTGGTACATATGTATGATGGGATATTACTCAACCATAAAAAGAATAGAATCTTGCCATTTGCAACAACATGGATGGACCTAGAGAGTATTATGCTAACTGAAATAGAGCAGACAGAGAAAGGGAAATACCATATGATTTCACTTACATGTGGAATCTATAAAACAAAATAAACAAAACAGAAACATACTCATAGATACAGAAAATAGTTTGATCATTGTCTGATGGAGAGGGTTTGGGGAGTAGGTGAAAAAGAGGAAGAGATTAAGAGATAGCAACGGTAAGTCCTTACCTATCAATAATTATTCTAAATGTTAATGAATTGACTTCTCCAATCAAAAGGCATAGAATGACCAGATGAATTTTAAAAAACAAGATTCAACTATATGCTGCCCACAAGAGATCACTTCAGCTTTAAGGACACACGTAGACTCAGAAAAAAGAGACAGGACTCAAATAAAATCATAAATAAAAGAGGAGACATTACAACTTATACCACAGAAATACAAGATTATGAGAGAATACTATAAACAATTATGCTCCAACAAACTGGATAATCTAGAAGAAATGGATAAATTCCTAGAAACATGCAACTTCCCAAGACTGTTGTGAAGAAATGGAAAATCTGAAAAGATGAAAAAAAAAAGAAGAAAGAATGAAAAAGAAAGGAAGAAAGGAAGAAAGGAAAGGGAAGGAAGGAAGGAAGGAGGGAGGGAGGGAGGGAGAGAGACAGAGAGAGACAGAGAGAGACAGAGAGAGACAGAGAAAGAAAGAAAAAAAAAAAGAGTAAGGAGATTGAATCAGTAATCAAAAACCTCCCAACGCAGAAAACCTCAGAACCAGATGGTTTCACTGGTGAATTCAACCAAACGTTTCAAGAAGAATTAGTACCAATCCTTCTCAAACTCTTCCAAAAATTGAAGGGGAAGGAGCTCCCAAACTCATTTTATGAGGCTAGCATTTTCCTGATACCAAAGCCAGGTAAGGACACTACTAGAAGGCACATGCTAATATCCCTGATAAATATAGATGCAAAAATTCTCAACAAAATGCTAACAAACCAAATTCAATAGCACATTAAAAGAATCCTACACTATGATCAAGTAGGATTTATCCCTGGGAAGCAATGATGTTTCAACATACACAAATCCATAAATGTGATACACCACATTAATAGAAAGATAAAGATCATATGATTTTCTCGATGGATGCAAAAAAGCATTTGAGAAAATATAACATCCTTTTTGATAAAAATGTTCAACAAAATGGGCCTGAAAAAAATATACCTCAATATAATAAAGGCCATATATGACAACTCACAGCTAACATTATACTCAATGGTGAAAGTTTGAAAGCTTTTCCTCTAAGATCAGAAACAAGAGAATGGTGCTCACTCTCACCACTCATATTCAACATAGTACTTAAAGTCCTAGCCAGAGTAATCGGGCAAGAAAAAGAAATAAAACATATCAAATCAAAAAGGAAGAAGTAAAATTGTCTTTGTTTGCAAATGATATGATTTTATATGCTAAAATGAGTGGGTGAAAGGCTATTGAAGAAAATATATGGTCAAACGTATTCTTCCAAATGTTACTCACTAGTAACAAAAGCAAAATGATACCTTTACATTATAACTGAGAAATCTGGTGATTAAACTTTCTACCATCAATAACAAGACAAACTGACAATGTCTACCTCTTAATGCAATGCACTGAGGATACAATGTCACATGTACATGACTGTATACTAAATGATAGTTTGCATCGGTGTTAAATTTCTTGGATGATTCACTGCGTTGTAGTTATACAGGTGAAAGTTATTGTTCTTTGGAAAAACATTATTTGGTGAATCATCACATCGTACACTTTAAATATCTTACAATTTTGTGTCACTTATACCTCAATAAAGCTGAAAAAATTAAAAGTAAAAGTAAAAATGAGCATGAATTGGGTTAATCAGTGTTTTGTGTTTCTAAACTAGCATGACACTTAGATGACATAAACCGGAGCTTTATACCATTGTTTCCCATCTAAGCACATAATGTGTACCTAGCACAATAGCTTTGAAAATTTTCTTGGTTACTTATACTTTGTCTAATATGCTAGTGTAGTATAAAGAACATGGACTTTTTTTACCAGAAGGATGTGGATTTAATGTTGAAACAAGGGCCCAATAGTTGTGGAATAGTTTGTGCCTCACATTTATCCTCTCTTAGCCTCAGTTTTTTTAAAGCAACAAAATTGAAATAAAATGGCCACTTTGCAGTGTACTGAGGGATTAGCTAAAGTGTATGTAAAATGTTTGGCATTGTAGAAGGTGTTTATGGTTAGCTCTTTCTATTATTGACACTTGTTTTGGGTAATGCCCCTTGTCTCCATGGCAGCACTTACTCCCACAGGAACATACGCTCAGGCCTCTATCCATTTCCTAGACAGTGCGGATCGTAACTGGTTGACTCATTTAGAACGATGGCCAATACAGAACGACAATCTGACTTGATGAGATTTAATTGCAAAATTAGAACCTAAAAGATGAGTGGAAATAAAAAAAGGTCTTATATT